CTGGAAAATCGTCAGGTTGAAGGGCTTGTACACGTTGGACGTTTGCCACACTTTAGTTTTTGATACTTGCACTTCTCTAGCCACGTCTCTAGTGCTTGTTGAGGGATTCTCGTCTACGCGATTCAATAGTTCTTCCTCAACTTGCACCATTCGTGGTTGTCTAGGCCTCCCACTGTGCCCACCTCGAAATTCCTCCAAATGGCCCGTATCCCTGACTCTCTGGACCAGGTACACAAATCTGCGGGGCCTTGGATGATGTCGTCTAGGGAAACGATCTGCATACACTCGCGACGATTCTGTAGCATTTTGAAGACATTCGCCATAAATTAACAACATATCAACGAGTTCATTATTGGTGTATGAGTGTGCCATTATTATTATTTTTTTTTTGAAACGCAATCGATTATACGGGTTCGTTACCTCTATACGCGTGACCCTTTACCGTCGGTTGAAGGTTACATACTGACCTGACACACTGACCCCGACCCCCGACCCAGTTCTGTCGTCGGGTTCAGCTAGTAGCCGGTACCAGTCTGGGATATCGCGGCGGGTCGCGGCTACAGGACGGTATTCAGATATTTTTGATGTTGCCGAGCCCTTTATCTCGGTTCCCTTAAGACATTGGTGTATATGGTACTAAGAAAAATTGCTTATGTTTTCAAGATCTACACGTCGTGTAAAGGAAAACCCCAACTATTTTGAAGTCAAAGTTGTGACATTCCATAGACAAAAAGTATTTGAAAATTAAAATGACTCCATTTTATCTAGGTAAAAAGTACATCATAGTACGTAAGAATATTACTGTGACTTTTTTGTCTAAAATATTGGAATCATCAGAATAATCTTAGTAGATCCGCTTCTGTGAGTGATTGTAATAATACGACCCAATCGACTTTTTCTCATTGTCCACGGCTTTTCCAGGAGCCCAGATTGATGACTTGACCAATGTGACTTATACGTATCTATATCTTCTTGTAGAACTGGCTGGATACATGCAGGCTAGGAAATTATAGAACTGGACATCCTTTCCTTGACGAGTGAAATCCGTGTGAAAGATATAGTAATTTTTTTTATACTCCAACTACCACAAAGGCCTAAGGCCTAAGCACCCATTGGGTACCAGGGGCTATAGGGGGATACATGGGAAAGGGGGGGATGCCACACGGACTCTGGCGAGGGAACACGTGTGCATGCAAAATGCACACATTCTGGCTCCGCCTACGAAATGTTCCACTGCAGGCCAATCATTTTTTCTGTCCAAATTGCTGACTAAAAGATTCTCTCTTTGAACTAACATCACCAACTGTGAAAGTAGCCTGTCTGTATATGCATAGTTTTTTCATAGATTCAACAGACTGTTTCAATAACCGTGAATGTTCATTTCATATAATAACACTGCACATTCACCATTCATTGAAGTTTAGCTACGCATTTTGAAAAAAGTGTCCCACACAATTTAAACCACAACACCCACTTTCTTATATACAGGGTGCGTTTTTAGTCAGCACTGGGTCGATTATGCTGGCATTATTATGGAAGATATCTTTTCACGAAGCTTGAAGACAAATATACGCTCTTTACTGTCTACAGGGTGATTCACAACAGCGTGACTACACATACATTTTGTAAAGAAATACCCTATATATTATAATATATTCTGGATTTTTTTTAACATATAATTGTATAGCGTACTATACTCTGTAGGGGGCGGCATATTTTCTAAGTAAGAAGCATATAGTTGTCTATATTTTTTGCAAATAGCTTTTTTAGATACCTTTTATAATGGCGCTCTTATCGTCCGAACACTCAGCAAAAACTCACCCTGTATAAAAACATAGTGTGTAAAAGAGATACCGACTTGGATCCTCTGAACATTTCAAAATTGCTTCCTTTAAACCCTGTGGTATCTTAATGTCGACTAGTCTACAAGAATATCCTCCTATTGAAAAAGACCGCCACCGTCCCTGGACAGTAATATTTCTCAGAGGGACAACTAAAGGCGACAGCTTTTAACGAGCTTCACCAACTTTGTACTTTATCTACTTCGACACTTATAAACAGGTTTTCTTGCCGCAGAGTTTTTCTCGAAATCCCGTCGGTGAAAACTTTCAATTAGTGTAAATTGTTGAGCAGCAGGAAAACGATCCAGTTGATACGTTTTTGCTACACCGTTGACGGTGGTCCGTAAATTGTGGAATTCGGTAAACACTATTTTTTGTAAAATGAAAGCTTCTATTGTCTACATTGGTCCGTCGAATGTAAATTTGCGTATTTGTATAACATAGTGATGGAGAACTATCGATAGTTGACACCATCGCTAATACTCGATAGTTTTTGATAGTCAAGAACAAGTGAGCGAGACAGAAGACGGAGGGACAGTCACACTTTATGACGTCAAAAACGTGACAGTGTTCCTTGCAAAATTCTAATGTAAATTCTACAAAATAGATCTAATGCATAAGGACTAGATATAGAAGGTTAAATTGCATTAGGGAAGAGGAAGAATACTGGTAAGGAGGGCGTAGCCCTCGGAAATGTAGTGCGCATAGATTTTCTGCGCATGTATACACATGCACGTTACAGAGAGAGAGAGAGAAAGAGAGAGAGAGAGATGTAGATATGTGAGAGATACCACATTCGCAGAATCTGAAGTACATTTCTGATGCTATAGTAAGTATATTGATGATCCTTGCTTCACAATAAGTTTAATGAAATAGTTACATAACTTACCACTAATACGTTTTCATTTGGGATATTCAAAAATTTCTCCATTTTATTTGGTTAACGTTTTTATTTGGAATTGCGAATATAAAATGTAACCTACCAACAGAAACTAAGCACGGAACATGCAATTATGAGGGACACAGTGCTCAGACACTCGGAGTCTCAAACAGTTCTCAAACTCTACAACACTCTAACATCTCTCAATAGCAGGCAACGAAAAAGTTTACTAAGAATTTTTGTCAGCTTAACGTGAAAGTCAAAGTCACGAAATACAAAACATCCGCTTTTGCCCCAAACTCTACACAAAATATCCTGGAGCAGCTATCGAATACTATCGATAGTATAGGAGAACTATGGATTGAATACGATAATTATCCATAGTGCTACTGATAGTTCTCCATCAGTAGTCACAGAAGAAAGTCACTTCACTTGGCAATCGCGAGTAAAGGTACTAAATAAGTATATACATCAAGTTATTGGTTGCGCCACCGTACGTAGGTAGGTTTATTTTTACGCGGGTATGGCCTTCAACTGGTTTAGGGATCTTCTGATTGAATATGTTAATCAATGCTAATAGTCAAAAATCAACAAACAACGTCACAAGTGCTGGTTTTAACATATATTTTCATTCTGTCTGTATATTTCCATATCAAAGAGATACCACACAATGCTCTCACATTTGCGTAGGAGGTAAATTATACATCACCTCGCAGAAGTGATAAATAATGATGTTAACAAAGTCAGCATATTCATTGATGTTTATGGTGGAAGTGCTCGTATTTAAAATTATGGGGAACGTGCACGTTCTCTGATGCTGATACGTGAATTCGCAAATGTAGAATTCTGACAGAACCAACCCACCGCAACGAGGCGCAGCACCGACAGTCTAAAGCATTCTGTTACTCTAACGAAGTTATTACAAATTCCCTAATATATTTTGTTTTCCAAACAGGCGCATTCAGTTGCTATATATCCAGCCTGACATATTTTTGCGGTTTGTATGGAAAATGTAGCAAGGGAGATGAATAAATGCATGATACTGAACACGATGTCCTGGACAAATTAGAAAGTAGTTGTATGGAACCCGCGCTTTGCAGAACATATATATGTATATATATAAACCTTCAAGCTGTAATATTTTGCTATGCATAGCTATAGCACCAACTACAATATTTGTTCTTATTTTGTACGATTTGAATATAACTTAACATAAGTTACAGGGGTAATGAAAACAGAGTAATATTTATCTCACAACAATTGAGCACCATGTTGAATACATAATCTAGATTTATATGGCAACAGTCACTGAGCATTTTATTGAAAATAGCAGTATCTCTACTTACCTGAGAGAGATAACTTGAAAAAGGATATATTTTCAACCTCCATCAACATACCCATCAAGATAAAAGCTAAAAAACCCCATATTTCCCATTTATAGGTTAGTAACAAGTCAGTGAAACTAGATCACTGATTTTTGTTCTTGCTGCACATAATTCTAATTAATGAATTATTCGATGACATGCAGAATGACACCTCTAACCTGGCGTAGTTACTCCACAGCAACGCAGTAGAGGAAGCGGGCAGTATCCCTTAAGCTAGGAAAATTAGCTGTCTTCAAAGAATGTATTAAGTTTTTACACCAAGGACAAAAAACAATTATCTAGTTTGACTGATCTGTTACAAACCTTTAAATAGGAAAAAAATAGGTTTTTGTAGCTAACTTCAATGGATATATTGATGGTTGATGGATGGTTGAGAATATATCATTTTATTTAAATTATGTTTCAGATAAGAAGTGACACTTTTATTTTCTATAAAATGCTCAGTAATTGTTATCATCAATTTAGATATTGTATCAGATTTGATCCATGCGTCAGCTAGGGCCCAAATCTTGATTTGTGATTGGTGGAGGCTGTGCCGAAATCGCAAAGTTTGTGCACGGGCCCAAATGAAAATAGGTTTTTATAGCTAAAACAGGTGATTTATGAAATACTTCTTGATTTAATATGGGAATTAGTGGTCCATCTTACACAAATCGCATAGTTTTTCGCTAGTTTGAGAGACACTTTACAAGAAATCGACCATATCCATTAGATCGATTACTTCAAAAACGCATTCAAGAAGAAACTAATGTGGTAATGTGGTACAACAGTATCATCTGTATTCTGTTGGACTACAACACCAACACAAACAGACACGATTGCTAAGACACAGTTGGAAAATATGATGATAAAAGAGAAGGTATAACAAGGAAACACCGTTATTGGATCACGTACCTGTCCAAATGGAAAGCGGCGATCTCGGCGTTGTGACGTTCGTAGTCCGTGAAATAGAAGTGATTGGGAAGGGTCTGTTGCTCCCTGGGGAACCTGCAAACAAACAGATAATAAAATAGATGAGCGACACGGTACACCTGATAAAGCGAGATCTTATAGGTGAAGCGTATAGCTAGACGGTAGCAGTTTCGTCATCATTTAACCCCATTGGTACAAAATAGGCATTGAGACAACGGCTGAAAGGCAATGAGCTCATGTCTTCTGTTTGTCCATTTAAATATTTATACTTTCTTGTTATTCGCTCACAGGCATCCTCAGTGTCTTTAAGATTTTTGTTTGTAGACATTATTTTATTCTATAAATTAATGGTTGCTAACCAGCTTAGTTACGTAAATCTGTTTTTGTTAAATTTTAATGAATATGTATAAAAAGACTTTTTGAGTATTTGAAAACGAGAAAACTACGACCAAATTCCTTTACGGAACGGGGGTGTTGTAGCTGACGTATGAATATAGAGATCATATGCTACACGCCAAAATACCCGACTGTTGCGTTTATTCGATTGTCGCTGTGTTTGTTTTGAAGAAGCGAGGTGTGAATTTCGCCGTAAAAATGTGAGTGTGACAGGTTTTCTGTATAAATATCGACTATATCAGTAATCTCACGGATCCCACTAGGCGTGATCACCATTATGGTGACGGAACTGTAACATAGGTAATGTTCACACTTGACAGATGTGAGGTATTATACATAACCTATACGTTGGATCAGGCGACTATATTTTAGCGATTTTAGTGAATTTTGTTGAATTAGTTACACGCTACATTATTGTTAGTATCGAAAATAGTTACGGCATCAAAAGTTTGGACTACTAACGTGACTTCGTGTTGTATTGTGAAGTGCAAAAGTAGTACAACAATTTGAGTTGATCGGATTTATTCAAGAATGCATACAATTATTATGCAAAAGACCTTGATAAGCGCGTAAAACAAGTGTATGCCCTCCGGCGGTTCGTTAGGGATTTTAGGGAATCTCGGTAAGAGCTGATTTCTGATTTTCGCGTAGCTGTGCGGCTGTGCCTCATTTTGCGACGTTGATAATTGTCCTTTGCGCTTTATCGAAATATGTATCGCAACACAAAACAAATATAAAGCGTATACACTACCATGTAAGACCATCGAAAAATATGAATATTTAAATCAACGGGTCAAACAAGATACGGTAGTGGTATTTATCATCCGTTTGTAACCTACGAAGCATTTTTTTCATTCAATAGCGATATAAATCTAAACTCGAATTGCTTATTTGATCATTCAGCTGGTATGACTTTTTAACGTGATTTCCAAAAACCGTAAAAAGAGCTGATCTCCATCCTGAATGTAGCGTTTTATAAATATTTTAAGGCAGTTTGGCAACACCGCCTCGGAAGCTAAGGACTGTCCGCAAATAGGTCGCTGTTTTTATTTGTAAACCAGCAATAGTCCAAGAGCCGACCGCAAAGTTTTAGTTACATCACGTACTGATATGGTATATTAAAAACTAGCCAAATCTAAGTATTTTAAAATTACAAATTCACGATCGGCTTCCTACTATAATGCAGAGCACCCCCAAGCTCAATTGGGCCGACCAGTAGACTATAAATCCATATCACGATTCGTGGTTGAATATACAACCTCTTTGTTAGTACACAATGTCTGGTGCAGTTTATCAGGGTTTCAATTAAGGTCACAGAAAATAGCGCAAGCCCGCCAAAGCCAAAGAACCTCAACTTTATCTTTCCAGTCCACTAAGACCTATTAGCATAAAGCCGCCTTCACGCTAAGTTTGATCATTTGTTTTAACCCGAAGAAATTGGAAGAGAGGCAGTAAATTGTAAACTCAGGACAGAATATGCTGGTACTAAGTAATTTAATAAAGCTCTGTATAAAAATACGTAGCTGAGACTGATTTCATTTTTACAGAGGCGGAGCGTAGGGTTGGGTAGGCTCTGAATAAGTCGTTTCAAAGGAGTGATATAGCACAGGCAACTGAAAGAAATCGATTAAATATATATAAAAATATAAAAAAAAAGTTACAAAACCAGTTTTATATCTACATATAGTGGGGAGGGGTGAAGTTCGGCATATTTGCTCTTCCACTTATTCCCTAGTTTTAAGTTTACATTATAAAAATATGTAAGTATAAGCAGTATCAATAGCGGGCATGTTTTTTAAACGGATTAATAGGAAGAGAAGTATACTCTCGCGGGATATTGTTATAAAGCTTACATATATTATAAGAAAGGTAGTAGAATGAAAAGGTGGTGTCAGTTTCGTTTTGGTACGGATATTACGGTTGTGAGCTAAGTAGCGGAAATGTATCCTTTTGTGTAAGTAGGATGGTAGCTGAGATATTTTACAAGGTTATGTATGCTATGTATGCGTTGCTTCATGTTGAGCCAAGAAACCTCTGTAAGCTCTGATGACACTGAATCATATTTACTCAAACCAAAAATAAGTCCGGGTCAAGCATTTTGTACACGTATCTTATCGGAGGAAAATTTAGTTAAACATTTGTCATAGACGGGATCACAGGAGTTAGAATGCAACAGAAAAAAATAATTGCATAGCATGGTTTTAATTTTTTGGTTCATAACATACGTATATAAGATTTTTGACTATCGTTAAATACCGTTCGGATTCGAATATTGGCGCTACCGCTATTCGGATCCTCTCAGTTACACCTTGTAGAAGAGAAACAGTGGCAATGTTAATGTACAATTCATTGTGAAATAATACCTGAAATATTAAAGTCGGGCAAAAATAGCAACGATTTTTTTTCGTCTATCTCCGGAAATTACTAAATTTTCTTAGTTACCTAAATATGCAACATTCCTCCCATTTAGCCGACCTGGAGCTTGATTCTAAATGAGTTTCGATCGTTGAAATTGATTTCGATGGCGCCTTGTTACGATATACTTGATTCGCTATTACAATTTTGACATCTGATTCTTTGATCTTCTATATTGAAATTATCATAGGAGTGTCAAAATTATCATAGCTAATCAAGTATATCGTCACAAGGCACCATCGAAATTAATTTTAACGATCGAAACTCATTTGGAATCAAGCCCCTGCTTTCACTTACCATTTTCGCGACACCAATGATGATAGTCAAATTTGAAACACTCGGTATATAGGAAATAAAGCTATGACGTACTTTAACGTATATTAAACAGCACATCCCTTATCATACAGCTGCACACATACTCCCTCGTCATCCTATTGTACGCGTTACTGATCTTCCCGTTGTTCTACTTTAGATGCATACGCGAGGTACATGCTGTATATTGCATACAACGCTAAATCCTTCCCCGACAAATAGGAGGATTAATCGATATGTTCTCCTTCAAAAGACATCCACCGCGGGGGATATTGTGCTGCGGTTGAAGTGGGTGAATCAAAATGACGGACAGCCGACGTGCAGTGCGATGGGAGCTTTGAGGATATTGGAGTGCGATAAAGGACGTCGTTTTGAGAGTGTTATTGTGCAGTTAACAACAATTCATAAGATCGATATGATGAATATCTTTCTAGCAATTACAAACAGTAAACGATGTATTTACCATAAATAAAACAAATAATGTAAAGCATCTAGGGATTTGCATAGACGAACAAACAATAAAAAAAACATCAAAACATTTACTGAAATACTGCCATTTGAAAATATTATACTATGCATTGCTAGAATCCTACCTGAGCTATGGCATAATAGCATGGGGGGCAGCAAATACAGCTCATGTATTTAAACTGGAGCTAACACAAAAAACTATTTTAAAAGTTGACATTTTAGATATAGGACACTTATACCTATTAATAGTTATTTACCTAACAAGTGCAGAAAGTGATACTTTTCAGCACAACGCGAAGCGGAGTTCAGGCAAGCCGTCAAGGGCGGAAAATACACTTTCCGCAAGTGTTAAGAATAAGATCTTTCCTATCAGTTTACGGAAACCACTCACTTTCAACGCGCACCTGCGTGCAGCAAGTATCGCTGTTTTGCTACTTTCTGCACGCAGATGCGTGTTGAAAGTAGCAAGTGTAGTAGTTAATCAGAAAAAATGTCATGATCAAATCGTATCTTTACTTAAGCGCTCGAAGTTACAATCTCCTTCTACAAGATCTGAAATTAATTTACTCCAAATACATATTTATAAGAAAACTGAAGAACTGGAAAGTATATATGCCCAGAACGAGAGTTCATGAAATTATTGATATAAAAAAGTCAGTATTAGTATGAACAAATAACATATTAAAATGAACTTATTTTGACGATATACTTATGTTACGCTAATAATACCGATTTTGACAACGTACTTGATAATGCCTTATCTGATGGAGAAGACGAATATAAACTAAATATGTAACAATAATTAAAAAAAGCAATTAAAGATCAACTGACATTTTTCCTTCTCTCTGTGTCAGGTAACACGTTCTCTAAAATTTTATGTAATATCTTAAGTTTAACATTATGTGTGAAGCTTGTGCCATTTTAGACCATTTTTATGTACTATTCACAAATTATTTTTTATACGGTCGGTCAAACCGGAGGTTTATGCGGGTTTTCACTCATGTTTTTTAGATTTTCTACGTGGGTGTTTGCAATAAAATATAAAATTCAACGGCTGTACAAATACATGTTACTCAAGGTCTTTAGTAGAACAAAAATATAATTTTCCATCAAGTATCAACTAGTTTGAAATTGTCTGATCCCAAGTCAGGTCGAACAATAAAAAAATCAAGACGAGTTAAGGATTAACGATTCAAGTAATTTTATTTTCAAGCTAAGTCAAGTAGCTTATAAAAATATCAAGCTACTTGACGAGATGAATCCCTAAATTTGTTTATAAAAAGAAATTTCCAAAATTTACTCAGGCAGCTTGTGAAAACTTTGAAGATTTGGCAAATAGGGAACAGTCATAATTATACTTCTGTTAGATACGTCCTCCTACATCACCTTGTGGAAATACAACTTTCACTGTCCGGTGCATTTTGTCAAATAAAAACAGGTTGCGTAGTCTGTACTCCAGTTCCCTTTCCAGCTCATTACACTTCTTTGCGTTTTACGAGCCGCTGTCCATGTCCATGTTGACACCATGGCTAACTAACCACAGGGCCGTGTCATGGGTACCCGCAAGAATTTTTTAGAAAGTCGATCATCGACAAAAGAAAACTTTTTTTGAAAGTGTACCTGCCCTCTTATAAAACTAGAAAGCACAACAAGTTGCCAAACTTGACATGTCAAACGCGCTGCATTTCGTGTCACTTCCATAATAAAGCAAGAAATGGATCGCAGGAGTTTCGTCAGAAAAGAATTCGCTACCTTCTTCTCTCCTACAGTGTTAGAGCTAGTATTGAGAATAGCCAATATAGCCAAACTTTCGTACTTAGGTGAAAGGCAGTTAATGTACTGACTTTTTTAAATTTTGACGCTAATACATATCTTTTATGATTACAATTACAAAATATGTCATAATCACGTTATTTACCAAAAATAGTTATTTTTTCAGTATGTCAGATATTTCATATTAATTGCATAAAAGCAATATATCGATCAGAGTAAGAAAGCAGTAGTTTTCAAACTATACTATATATTTTATTCTCTATATGATACAAGTATTGCTTTTTACCTTTTACAACCTATTATGATGTTTTCTTGTTTGTTTTTTTATGTAATAATTCTATTATTTGTAAATAAGCATACATCGTTACAAATAAATACTTTTGCTCCAACAAAATAATTTAAAAAAATTATTATATATATTATTTGGCAAAAAACCATTGGCGTACCATTTTTTTCTTATAAAATATTGAAGTCAATATCCGTACGCACTCTACTGTTAAAGCCAAGAATTATTTTTGCATTGAAAAATATGCAACTTTATTAACTTTCACTACGTACTAAATATCAGTGAAATATCTGAAGCAGTTCTGAAAATATTAATTTCCATTTTTTCCCTAAAACATCAACACCCCGAGTTTTTGTAAGGAAACATTTTTAGACCATAGTTTCTGAAGCAAACTAACATTAATTTTTCATCTAGTTTCACACTCTTAAATATTCGCATATCATTAAGGAACACCCTGTATAGTTAACACATTGTTTTCAATTTATTAATATAATTATTTTTGTTGCATGTTATTATTAAATGTAATTATGTAATTATTAAAATATGTGAATTTCAATATGAGTAAATTATGGTAAAGTAAAATAAGATTATCTATTGCCTTGTTCTGTCGCAATAAAACCCATAATTTTGCACTCATTTTTCTCAGAGTTTGATTTTTGAACTTTACTGCCTTTTACCTAAGCACGGTAGTATAGGTAGCCTTACTTCAACTTGGCTGTAAATACAAAGAGAATTTTGTCAAGAGGTAGGTAGAAAAGAGAAGAGAACAACTCACGAACAGGTGGAGTCACATTCTCTATCGAGTACCAGCGCCTTTGTTTACCCATTGCTGAATTACTGTATATCAAGGAGGATGGAATCTATTTACCTGTAGGTTAGTAATTAAGGTAAATGTAAGTGTATGCACGATAAGGTCGATGCGACGCGATGCCAATCTGGGATGAGGTTCCCGAGGGAATTGGATTACAATGTGTATGAGCATAGAATAACCCAGATTCCGCCTAAGCACCCCGATTGAATTAGAACACGCATTTGCATATACGCATATCAAACATTTGGGCTATGAGCATAAGACAGAGATGAGCAAAGTATACGGAAACCCTATAATAGGTTCACCATCAGTCAAGCCGGTTTCTACCTAGGCTCATCCTCACGCTTGCAAGACAATTGAAGCAGCAAGAAAAGCGAGGAGCAACTTGGGCTGAAGCGGCTGCTTTGCAGATACTGTGTAGCTAAAAAAGGTCTGACTGCTGAGAAGGTCGCCAGTACCGCTTAAGAAATTCTGTAAACAGCGTCACACATCACCAGTGATTCACTCTCCGTTACCCGATGATGAGTGTCTCCATGCTTACCATTTGTCACTGTAGTATACTTAAATCCCATTTACGCCCCATCAAAACAAACCAACGTTCAAATTTGCGCCACCCTATTGTACAGTGGGTCATAAATGCCCGAGCAGGCAGCGACAAGCGAATAAAAACGAAAATCAAGTGGTCATTGATTGTTTTGATGCAGAGTAAATGGTGGTTGCATATACTTTAGTCGCAAACAAAACACATATGGGATCCAGAGAAAATTCAAACGAACCATGAGACCACCCATGAGAAAATTCTCAACGTACCTGATGTGACTAATTGATATGTCGGCGTCAAACGCTGAAATCAGTCATTATCTGAAATGCCTAGTCAGTCCCCGTATTGCCGGCAAACACCGTAACAGTTTGATTATCACAGCATTTGATTAAGCATGTCAGTTATTCCCTGTAGTGACTGAACAATTTCAGTCAAACACCGTAACAACCACATTAACTTCATTACTGAATTTGCCTGATTCAGTCATTCATTGTGTATACTCAACAAATGAACACAAAACTGGTACAATGAATGACTGAATCAGGCAAATTCAGTTAATGAAGTTAATGTGGTTGTTACGGTGTTTGACGGAAATTGTTCAGTCACTACAGGGAATAACTGAAATGCTTAATCAAATGCTGTGATAATCAAACTGTTACGGTGTTTGCCGGCAATACGGGGACTGACTAGGCATTTCAGATAATCACGGATTTCAGCGTTTGACGCCGACATATATACAAAAGTAGAAAATAGTGAGAAATCCATCAATACATCGTATCCCGATTTTCCTTTTCTCGCATCATTTTCACACTTACTAATGGCAATAGGAAATTTGTTCTCAGCGAGAGGTAGCTGGCGTGTATCGAACCATCGAACATGATAATAACGTTCTTGTAATTGACGAAAGAGAAGGAAGATGAAAGCCTGGGATGTGACATAAAACACTCGCCGATCGATTTTCATTTACATTTTGTTGGTTTCGCCTAAAACGCACCCTGGAGTGCTTTTAAGCATTCAAAAGGTGTTGGAGAGCGTCATTATATTGCTATTAAAACGATGCCGCCGCGGGTCATACATTCAGATTTTTAACGAAAAACGATAAAAGGAACCATTAAAATGCAACAAACCGTTAGCATGGCAGAGATCGAACAGACCTTGATGTTTCCCCCGTCTCTGGGAACGTTAAGGTATAGCGTATTTATAGTTAAGGATTGTACCTTCCTCGCCAGGCGAATCTCAAAAGTGGGGCATATTTCAGTGGGGTAGTTTGTAACGTAAAGATTACACAAAATCAGCGTCAAGTTGGTGACTCTGCATTTCCAACGCAACGCTGAAATCAGTTCATAAAGGGAAACGTTCTAAGAAGAAAGTTAGCTACGAACATGCATATCAAACGAATTAAATGGATCAAGTCAGTCAACCAGGTCCATAGTTTTCACCCATTTGAGAATATCTAGTAGGTGTGTAGAATTACCAGGATCATAACAGTATAAATATGTTGAAGCCAAAAAATTCAGCCCCATATGACCTATACCCTCAATTTTAACTCCTACAAAAATGTTGAGCATCTTTTATTTTCCCGCCTAACGCCGCCGCCACTCTACCGATTTTAAAAAACTACAAAGTTTCTTCGTACTTGGCATAAGTATAATCAAAATCCGAGCGAACCTTCCAAGTTATAGACGGTTCAAGAATTAACGGACAGACATACATGACAACGGAAATATATGGGTTTTCTTGATGTGTATATCATATAAAATTCAAAAGACATAATAGCACATTGTCGAAATTGTTTACAATTACAATACTTCCTCGCCTCGCAGAAAAAAGTTTTGAGAACCTTCGGAAATTTTTAGTTTTTCGTATAACTCTGCCGCCACTGAATGATTTTTAGAGGCCTTCAAAGCCTTTTGACATTGGCCTGGCAGCAACATGTGCCAATTTCAGCAGAATTCGAGCTATGCATAAGCCAGTGATTGCCGACCGGGAAACATGACAAAAAGATAAGCCAACGGGAATGACTAAACATGTAATGAGTGTAAATATTTTGTCATTAACATATTACGCAACATCTAATAAACGTCTCGACTACGAAATTCTTTGGGATTTCAGTAACTATTTGCCCACTGGAAGAAGAAAATAGATGAACTATAAATTTACAATTGTTTTCCTTTGTTTACTACATTTACAAATGTTAAAAAATGAGCCAGCTTTACCTGTTGTGATCTTACTGATATAGGAACGTACCAAGGAACGACGCAGATTTTTGTGATGAAGAAGTCGCATCAGATTTGGTAATTGCTTTGCATACAGTGGACTGTTTTTGATAAAAGTATGACACCATTTTTGAAGAAGACTTACCGCATAGGTTTGAAAAGTGCCTGCATCCCATTTTCGTAATCTATGATGAGCTTCAGTTGAGTACCTCCAGTTTTTTGTGCTGTAAAGAAAAAGCAATCTTACTAAATGCATCTAGCTATGTGATTGTGTATATGTATACCAAACCCTATTGATTTTTTTAACAATAAAGTTTTCTCCACTTAAAATCAAACTTGATTTCTGATAGCTGTGCTGCCATACCGATAGTTGCCAGATGCGAACGTTTGTTGCTTATGACCGTCAACTCATCGTCCATTTTGCCACGTTGCCAGTTGTCGTATACAAATTTAGTGCAGTTGTAGTCACCGTTCTTGGCGGTTACGTCATCAACGCCATATGAAATAAGTAAATAGATCGAGTATCCGTACCATGGGCGGAACACTGCGCAAAATAATCTCCAGCGCATCTGCTACTCTCTCCAGTTTGCATGAAGTGGATAACAGGGCTGTTTCCATTCTCTTCCTGGAAATACTCTGATAAATTTAGCACAAGCTGTCGGCCTTCTCCATTGATCGTATTTTTGAGCATCGTACAATTTTATATTGAAGATTGATAACAGGACAATTCGAATTGCAAGCCGATGTCAAGTAAGTTGTCACTTTGACAAATATGATTGAAAGGCACCCATACTGAACGACAAAGTTTTCGAGACGAAAACACATATAAAAAACGTATGTCTGTGAGCTTACCGAACTAACGTTCACACACATGGGTAAGTTGCATGTGTATGTATGAGGGAGATAGAGATATATAAAGGGATACTCGTAGTCTTACTTTGGGCAGCCAAGAACGGTGACGACGTGTCACGCGGCCGTGGTAAAAGTAGTCACATCTAGTTACATACTCAGGATAGAGTGTGTAAAAGCTTGTCACGTAACACTAAATCACATACATACGTTACAGCTTTGGCGTCAAAGATATTCGGTCTTTGAACCGTAAGGTTTGTCACTTCTCGTTCACAGAACAAGTAAACATGGAGTATATTCCGTAGATTCAAAATCATTTAGAAAAGATTAAAAAGAGAGATTCATAAAATTCAATGTTGGCGCTAAATAAGTATAAATAAGTATAAGATCTTTGCAATATATTTGCGGCTTGGGTACGATCTTTGCTCGTAGTTTCTATCTAGTGTTATTATGTGTTATTTTAATAATTTTGTGAAAGGGATACGTTTCATTTGATTATATGGATTATATTCAGACAACTACTAGACCTTAGATTCGGGAAGGAACGTTGCCACAAACAAAATACTTTTTGAATAAATGAATTACAGCCACTCATTTGAAGAGGTAGAGGCCTCACAACAGGAATTACATTAATATTCTAAAAAAGCCCGATTTCTTACACAACCAATTAATTGTTGCTAAAATATATCCTAGTGACTCCAAATTCACATATTTAAAAATGGTGAATGTGTCACGTTTCTTCGGTAAATAATAGTAACACCTCCACCATTCTTGGGAACGAGCCTCGACTACGTTTTTCAAATAGGAACCAATCTAGCAAAAATTAGTCCCTTTGGGAATGAAAATGTAGGATTCAAGATGAACGTTTCCAATATTCATCATATCATCTTAATAAAGGCTATCCCAGAGGAAATATAGTATTTATAATTTAAATTGGAGTACATACCATACATTTTAGGGAGAATGATTTTATTTGAAATGAATCTTCAGAAATGCGGACTTCATTTTTTGAATGTTAGCTTATCACCTTACAATAACACCAAAACGAGATATCAACTTCTGCGGAAATAGCTCACAACGCAGATCCATCGTGGTCGTTACATTGTGGTTAGTGGCTCATCCTACTGAAAATACGTTGACTGACTATTTTTAATGCCTGGACATAAAATAACTGGATACAGTTTGCTGATATCCATCCCCAGTAACACATATTGTTGCAGCTCTCGCATTTACCACCAGACTTCACCACCAACTCAAAAGAGAATATCCGTTGCAAGGTTAATGAAACTGAACCTGCTGAGCTTCATGGTTATGCAAAATTCGGTATACGAATCCAGTGAGTTTGTGCAACGGAATGGCGGAAAGGTAGTTGACTTAATGTTCAAAAAATTAAATCCACATGTCTCACGTCAGATGTCAATAGTAACACTTTCCGTGAAATGTGTAGTATCTTTTCATTCATTGTAATTTGGAGTTTCTAAGTTTTCTCGAGGACACCCTGTACAAGCTCGTTATTTTAACTGATATAGTGACTCTGTTGTACAAATATACGAAGGATTGTACGGTCTTTGTACCACGTGGATATTACATGCGTCCGCTAATACGATGAATTGCTCCGCTTTTGACGATACACCTAATATGAATGGATGTAACACAATATTGCTACATTTTCCTCTGGCAGCAACGTTGTCGTTATTTTATACATCACAGCGAAATTGCGAAAAGGTCGTATATATAATGTAAAATGTCCCACAAATTTCTAGGGAGAAAAATTGCCTGTCATCCCTTGCCGGTGTATGCTGAGGTGTTTCGCTGTAATAAAACATGGAGAATCAGTGGCAGACAGAGATGGATCAGTGGTGAATATAAAGAGAACAGTACAAAAACGGTGCTAGTGGTTAGCGCACGAATTGTACTTTTTTGTATGTCTTGCAGTATCACCTTTTCTTACATTCTAGTTGTAAATTTTATATTCAATTATAGTAGCACACAATATTATAACACGTTATAATGGCGCTTGACAGTCTGGCAACATGCAGGCGTCCCGTGGCCAGTCCCACTGTAACCATCAGTTTTTGCTACTTTGATACTCTAGAGCGGGAAAGTTGTCGTTTGCGATCGATCCTTGGAAAACATAACATTCCGTGCTGGACGGCGAGCAATAACACATAGTTTTGCGGTCGGTTGTAGGATAAAGGCATTATATATAGCAATATTCTATTCATATATTTATGTTTTGCAAAAATGGCATCAAGTCGGTTGACTCTGCACTTACTAAGCAATGATGTCATCCGTTTATAAAGAACAATGTTCGACACACGTTAGCCTCTCTGAGCTAGCTACAAACATGTATCGCAAATAAATTAAATGGATCAAGTTAGCCAAACAGACCTATGCAATAAGCATACTCCCATTTGAGCAACAAACATCTATAACTACAGTTATCAGAGAGAATAAACTTAAACATTATAGTCAACAAACGGCTGAGACACCTGAATACTAACATTCGTCGAACTGAAAATACGGACAAATATAAATATCCGGGATGGCGGTTGAGATACCCGTCACAGTTTAGGCGCACTGGCAGAGAACAACTTGAAACTGACGGCGTCCCCTCGCGGATCCCTTACATAGTTTTGATAATCCCTGTCTACTTCAAAGCCCGATACGTGGGATATATAGAAGTACATATTAATTTAGGATTTCTGAAGCGTTTTCCAGTGTTATCCGCTGTTATTTTTTACCCAAGGGCCTGATAAAGATCATATTACTCGACGAGTTGCATCGCGGAGTTCGTATATGTGTTTTCTAGGGAATAGAAGAATTTTAAACTAAATTTTGGGGGTACTTCTAACATTTGCGGCGACACGTGTCTTGATTTATAGCTTGAGAACCTCCGTATGGCCATGCCTATTTCTGAAATGCGTAATAAACTGAAAGGCTCTTGGTCTTAAGTTTGGTTTGGTTACAAGATGCTGACAGGATTTGGCGCCCAAGGTTGCCGTCGCCCCAACCGACCGCGTGTTGCGTTTGTAAATATTTCTGCATTTTCAGCGCAACTGTATGGAGAAATCTATGATGTGTGTAAAATTATCAAGAAATGAGATACCCTCGCTCACCCCCCACCACCCCCAACGTTTGATAGTTAACCCTTTCAAACGTTTTCTGGAAATGATCAGGAGCTTTCGAAACATTAAGGCCCTAAAGCGAAAAAGTGTATAGTGGAAAAAGTTTTTGCGCTGAGCTGCAATTTTCGTTATTATTGCTATGTATTTAGAAGAATGCCTTTATGCCCATACATTTTCTTAAACGGTAAGATCCAAGGTTCGTCTTTCTCATGAAATTCGTGCATTGACATGTTTGATTCGAATGTTAGGATCTAGTAGTGGGTCTCTCTCATTCGCTGAAATGTACTATCATTTTGAAACCCTTCTTCATGTTAGATTATAATAAATGGCACCTAAATTTCAAATCAGAGTTATGTAAGGTTCCTGGAAATTATTTTTAAAGATAATTTTCAACTATAGCTTATAAGAGTGCAAAGTAAATGATTCGAAACATTACAAAAAAATGTCACACGCCTTTCCCTTTTCATTTTTTTTCAAACCGATAACAAAATGGTCCAATCTTGCCTCTGTAGTTCTTCAACATGGCAGCACAGCGCGGTGGTGCAATGGTAGAACTTATGGATCTACTAATCAGACGCCGTGAGCTGCGCGTGTTCGAATCCCGTCCCACGATAATTTTTATCTAGGCTATGGATGTGGTGTTTGTCCGTAGGTGGTACACGGTCTCCGACTGTCGAGCGTGGAGGTACCACCCGGCGGATCTCTGAGGCGGTGCTAGAATGTGTGCATGTAGTACGCACACGTGTTCCCACGTTAAAGATTGTGTGACGTCCCCCGCCCTTCCCCCTGTATCCCCCAATAGCCCCATGGTTAACACGGGTACTTAAGCCTTAAGTATAAAGAAATGTGCCGTTTTGCTTATTTGTCAGCACAAAACAATAGAACATCGGCTAGCTTAAGTATACTCCAAATAGTGTTAAACAACTTTTTGTAAACAATTTGTGCTGTAAGTAAGAAACACTTGAATAGGAATAATATAAGACGAAAATGGAGAAAGTAAAACGGTAAAAACACAGTTTCCGTGATAATACCAGTGCGTAATAGTATTTGTGTTCGAAAGTGATACATAAATTAACTTGTGTGCACAACAATCATGCACCATATGACCATGATAGGAATGTTTTCGCAGGTGAGCTGATTTTACTATTTTTCTACATTAATTCATATTACGTATTTAACTTGTGTTCATTTTAACTTGGACTACTCTCTATCGAAATTAATTGCACTGTTACACATGACTGTTGATT